AGCTTACAGACTAGCATGAAAGGCCTGGTGACAAACTTCTGAAAACCAGCCACTGAAAACCCTATGATCAAAATGGTCTGATCCACATTGATCATGCAATGCAGCAGGACAGCGCAATGTTTGGCTCCTTGTAAATGGGGTCATCCTGAGTCAGGGGGTGACTGGATAGAAGCTAACAACAACTTAAAGGGGGAACAGTGGGGAAAAAATGGGCAAAAGGGAGATGGGAAAGGTACTTCCCACTGTGGCTTCAAACAAAAAGAACTTAACTATTTTAAACCCAAATAAATTATGGAAAAAGAAATACAATTCTGCAAAGACTCTATTGTCATTAAGTTTAAATATTTGGTAATTAGACTTAGGTTCTTTGTATCAAGTAAACTTAAATCTAAATCCTTTCTATTTAAAAAGTCACTCTTTCATTTCAAGAGACAATTATCCAGCACTCATTAAGTACTAGGCCACTGAATACTTACAGCCTTTACTACTTTGGGGGCTGACAAGGGACAAAAAGTTGGTGAGGTGGGATGTAGATTTGACCTTAGAAAGTTCACATCAGCTAGCTGTGACTTAGAAGAGACTTAGATTTACTTGAAGTAGATTTACTTTGACACAATCCCCTTTTTTATAAGTTAGTCTCAATGAAGATTTTTAGGTTCTTATGAAAAACATTCATATAGAACTAATGGCTGTGTAAAATTTGTTTCAAGCATAGTTATAAAACCATAAACTATTCAAAAATAACTATCAACATTTAATTGATAGATTGAATTAAATCTAAAGTGTATTTGTGTAAAATTTGTTTCAAGCATAGTTATAAAACCATAAACTATTCAAAAATAACTGTCAACATTTAATTGATAGATTGAATTAAATCTAAAGTGTATTTAAACAGTATTACCATGTTAAAAAACCTAAGAGATCAAATTTTAGTCAGAACCTGTAGTATGATGTAGTTTTTAGCCAAATATTCTAATGTTGTTGTTGTTGTTGTTATGTGCCATCAAGTCAGACACGACTCATAGTGACCCCCTCCTTGGGTTTCCGAGGCAGTATCATTATGGCAGTAGTTTGTCCAAACTTCCTATTGTAACGTTAGCACAAAAATTATCCAATGATCTCTGACAGACTGTCTCAACAATTATTATAAAAAATATAAGGCATGTAAAAGTTATCTGTGGCTTTGTATGGTTTGATTAAAACTCAATTACACTTAGATGAATTACTCACTAGCTATGAAAATCTCCCTCTCTTGTGGGCTTAAAGAAGAGCAGATATCTTGGCAGGCAGATGGTGCAACTGACATTTATCTGAATCATTCAATTTAACTAAAATGAATTGTTCTGGAACATGCCAGCTAACTCATTATCTTTCAACTGTGTAGCCATTAAAAGTCCAATATTCTTCCTGAAAATGCATCAAGACTCTACAATTGTTGTTGTTGTTGTTGTTGTTATGTGCCATCAAGTTGGACCCAACTCATAGTGACCCTTCCTCGGGTTTCTGAGGCAGTATCACTACGGAAGTAGATTGCCCCATCTTCCTTTCCGAGGAGTGGCTGGTGGGTTTGAACAGCCGGCCTCTGCTTAGCAGTCAAGTTTAATAACAAATATTAAGTTGTTGTTGTTAGGTGCCGTTGTCTCCAATTCATAGTGACCCTATGCACAGCAGAATGAAACACTGCCTGGTCCTGTGCCAGCCTCACAATCCTTGCTCTAACAAATACTATAGTTAGCCAAAAAATTTCTCCAAATCAAGACAACTTCCTCCACTCCACAAAAAAATACTCTAAACAGTTTTCTAAAGATTTTAGGCTACTGTAGCTCTCTAGCTGTCTGAAAGGTGGAGCCCACACTTATGCTTTGGGACTGAGGTGATGGAGGCTCCTTCTCCAGACCAGGCTTGTGAAGAAAGCAGCCAAAGGGCTCTTCCTCACTTCTCAATCTCAGTCCTCAACTGAACAGTTAAACAGGTATGCCAAACTAGAGATAAAGTAAAGTTCCTCTTTCAGATCAGTGGCAGTGAGTAGTAACTACACTGAACCATCTGAACTGCCTTGCCTGCTGAGGGTATGTCCTTACCCTAAGCACATTACTTCCTTCTCCTGAGAAGAATCCACTCCAGTTTCAGGATATAAATTAAAACACTGTGTTTATTTGTGTGTGTTATCTGTCAGCAGATTGAACTGCGTCCCCCAAAAACATGTCAACTTGGTTGGGCTGTGATTCTCAGCCATTTTGCAGTTATTTCTAGACCCAGGGGAAGACTGATGACAAGGATCTTCCTCAAGAGCTGGTAGAGAAAGCTTTCTCCCGGAGCTGGCACTCTTAATTCAGGCTTCTAACCTCCTAAACTATGAGATAATACATTTCTGTTTGTTAAAGCCATTCACTTGTTGTATTTCTGTCATAGGTGGTTGTGTTATGTGCCATCGAGTTGGACCCGACTCATAGCGACCCCTCCTTGGGTTTCCGAGACAGTATCACTACGGAAGTAGATTGCCCCATCTTCCTTCTGAGGAGTGGCTGGTGGGTTTGAACAGCCAGCCTTGTGGTTAGCAGTCAAGTGCCTTAGCCACTACACTACCAGAGCTCCCTCCGTCATAGGAGCACTAGATAATTAAGACATTATCCACAAGTAATACTATGCCACAGAAGTCGGGTATGGGGAGAACAGGATAAAACTAGAAGTTAGGGTAGTACAGGGTGTGGCTGTCAAGGAGAATAACTTCCTAACTGCACTTGGTGAAGAACCAGTATGAAGGATCTGCTACAAACGAGTATTTGCTGTTAAAAAGGGGTCTCTGCCTAATTGTCACTTGCCCCTCATCCCAAAATAATCATGGAACACAATTGGTTCTATAACCCCTTGGGATTCCATCAGCTGTACCACAGTGCAAGCAAAGAGGTGTTATAATTTACAGGGTAAAAAAAGCACTCTAATAGTGGAATTTCTGATTTAGAATGAGCTGCTGCCCTGTGAAATGGTGTCCTACGAATCCAGATGATTCTCCACATTAGCAGGTCCAAGTGTAGTGTCCCCAACCAGGGCCATCAGTATGCTCTGGGAGTTTGTTAGAAATGTACATTCTCAACCCCATCTAGACCACCTGAATCAGAGCCCAAGAGTCAGGGTTGGGGAGAAGGGCAGTACTTGGAGTATCCTCCAAGTCATTCTGCTGTTGGCTAAAAAAAAACACTGCTCCATGTAAAGCACCACCTCTCTGCAGAGTTCCAGAACCCATTCCCATAAGTATGGACTACTTCCCGCATCACTTCTGGGGAAAGAGCTGGCCCCTGGTGGCAGCAGGGGCTGTTTGATGGCTGGCAGAGACACATGCAATCCCCACTCCAGGTTGTGACTGTATCAGAGTGTCCCCTCCCCTAACTAGAAGTCCTAGAGCCACTGATCCTCCAGGTGTAAACTGGCCCAGGCACAGCATGACCCAGATGTAGCTAGGCCAGCCAGTTGTACTACAAATGGGGTGAGGGCACAAGCAGGCCTAGTAAGACCATGAACAAGGTCATTCCTCATCTACTCCAGCCTGGTTCCAGGGCCCTGGAAGTGCCAAGCTCCAGGTCTAAAAATGTCAGGGGTTTTGAGACCTTAGGAGTGACACAGGTTTAAAACCAAAGACAATCCTCACATCATTTGTAATTAATGCACACCCAAGATCTTAATAAGAGAAAAGTAATGGAATGTATTTCCATTACTTATCTGCCAGTTCATATTCAAATTAAAATGGAATTGCTGGTTCTGGAGAAAACTCCCCAACCCCACAGAGAGGGGATAGCCAAAATAACATCCCACTCCACCACCCCCTTCATTCAGCAAGCCCCTTCAGCTTGCTAACATTCTGCAGGAGATCCAACCAAATATTCTGCTTCACTTTATTAGATACACCAGGTGTGGGATTTACAAATGAGATCTATACATGTACTGGAAACAGATGGTGTACTTCTGTGCCTTTTTCTGGCAGAAGTTCTGAAATGCATGGACCTTGCTTATATAGGATACAAAACAAGCAAACCAAAATATAATCAGATGGCACCCCAAAATGGACAGTGTAAACAGTTAAATTACCAAGTCATTACATTAAGACCAACATACTTCAATGAAAATGGCATACAACAAACAAACTTATAAATTACATTTAAGGTCTATACATGATTCTTTAAAAAAAAAACAAAACACACACACACACACAAAAACAACTTGTGTTCTGTACAATATTGCTTCTTTTTAAAATACCAAATTTAATAATCACTTTCCTTTGAATTCCAGAAAAGTAGGCAAAATACACATGCAGTATAATAAAAATCATGTCACAAAAGTACAAAATTATCTCCGTTTTCTCAAAGGCACTTCAAAACAAACAATACCATAGGAATCTTCCACTTCAAAAGCCCCTTTCTTATTGGACTTTAGAACACAGGAGATTGGCAGCATCCTGTTGTTGTAAATTTTTGGCTGACAAACAGAAAACATGACTGGCAGTGAGGCAGCACTGATAAAATGAGATTCCTACATCCTCAAATAAATCAAAAGGCCAGTGTTGAAAATCTCAATATACCAGACAAGTTCCACAACATCCATATATAATATGGAGTGAAGATATGACCTTATTTTCTTTCAAAGTGTATCCAGTGCCCACTGCCAAACTACCAGTGGGATTTATGCAGGTGTCTTCATAAATGCATCATGCTGCTTGGGTGCCTGCCCTGCCTGGCTTAGGCACCACCAGCTACAATATTCACTGACCAAATGTGTGTGGCAGGCAGTAGCACATTTTATCAGAGCAACCTCTTGCACACAGATGACATGAGCAAAGCAGTATCTCACACCATCAAGTCTACAAAAAGGCCTGCCAGCACTTCACTCACATGACTGCTGTATTTTATGCTTTCTTGTGGAGGTGACTCTTTGGACCAAGGGGCTGATCAAGGGTCGCCAGGGTGTCCCAGGGGGCTTCCTTCCTAGCCAGGGGTCCTGGGTGCCCCTCAGGCTTCCAGCTGGACCTCGGCCTCCTCCATCTGTAGGGTGTCATTGTCTCCCAGCAACTCTGTCTCTGGGACGGAGTCTTCTTCCTCCTCTGCTTCTGGCACAGGATTCTGGGCCACATCTTCTGGAGTGTTCTGAGCATCTTCAGTGCTCTCAGAGAGTAGGGCCGCCCTGTCAGCCACTGAAGTGTTGGAGGGTGCTGTAGTGACATAGCCTGTGCTGGTGGAGCCACTGCCGCTGTGATGGGAGCCTGGTTTGGGGACCATTTGGGCAGGGACCTGCTGAGGGGCCATTTGCATTGGGATCTGTACAGGATAGAAGTTGGGCAGGTAGGCTCCATAGGCTGGCATCGGCTGGTACCCATTGACAGGGATGTAGAGCTGGGGTGGAGGGACCAGGGGTCTGATTTGGCCCTTCATGGGAATGAACTGAGGCTGTGGGAAGGGCTGGGCCTTTTGCTTGGGCCCCATGTAGCGAGCGTTGCTCACGTTGCTCACAGGGCTGGTGCTGAGGGAGCTCGTCTGTGTGGTGTTGCTGGCGCCTGAAGTCTGTGCTGAGCTGTTGTAATTGGAGATGTTTCCCCAGGTTCGGAGCCTGCTGTGGATATCCTTGAACCGGGGCCGCCGGTTGGGAAACTCATTCCAGCACTCGATCATCAGGGCGTACACCCAGGCAGGGCAGTCATCTGGGCAGGGCAGTACCTGGCGGTTGCGGATCATCTCTACAACGTCCTGATTGGAGTAGCCACAGTAGGGCTGCAGGCCATAGCTGAAGATCTCCCACAAGACCACACCGTAGGACCAGATATCTGAGTCAATGGAAAACTTGCCATACATGATGGCCTCTGGGGACATCCAGCGGATGGGCAGGAGTGAATTTCCCAACAGCTTGTAATAATCGGCTGAATACACTTCGCGGAAGAGGCCCAGGTCTGAGATTTTCACGCTCAGCTTATCAAACATGAGGACATTGCGGGTGGCTAGGTCCTTGTGCACCACGTGGTGGCTGGCCAGGTACTCCATCCCTGCAGCAATCTGTGCAATGACATGGATGAAGTCAGGGGGCTCCAGGACAGATTTCACAGTCCGGTCGTTGTCAGTGCTGCCCACATCTGAGTGTGGTGAGCGCATGACCAGAAACTCATGTAGGTCACCGTGGGTGCAGTAGCTAAAGATCAGGCTGATGGGCTGGTCTTTGGTCACTATCCCCAGTAGGCAGACAATATTGGGGTGCTGGAGTCTCGAACGCATTATAGCCTCATGTTTGAACTCTTCCCGGAGGGGTACCTCTGCTTTGTCCTTGAGTGTTTTGATGGCCACAGCCTGGGTCTGTTCCCCTGGTGTGGAGCCAAAGAGGTGGCCTTTGTATACTTTCCCAAATCGGTCTTCCCCCAGCTCCTCCATGAACCTTACCGTGGACAGGCTGATCTCTTTGAGCTTGGTCTAGCAAGAAGAAAAAACTCAATGTATTATTTCTGTTACTGCAACACTAGCCAGGAAAGGGCTTAGAGTACCAGGGGCTGGCATTGCCAGCATAGTCAAGTGACATCCCAGCCCAGACCCTGGAAAAGATTTCACTTTTCTGCTTATTCCAGACTACACTTGCCCCACACACTGCGATTTGATTGATCTTAAATATAGTTACTTCCTGTCTGAAACCTTCAGTGGGTTACAATCATGCAACAAGTAATATTCTTCCAAAATATAACAGAGATACCACTGCAGGCTTCATTCACACTAGTGTGTGTGTACATGTATTCAAACTTGACCACTAACTGCCCAGAGTCACCCTGCACTCTCCCAGTTCTGCCCCCTCCTCCTTGGGCTTGCTCTATGGCTCCTCCATATCATCTACAAAAAAAGTCCAACCCACCTCTGCTCAATACAGAGAGATCTTCTTATGAACTCTGAAGTACAAATCTTCATTTTTTTTGGTCAGGATATTGTCATCTATAGAGATACTTAGAGCAAGGTGTTTTACAAATCTTCTCTAGATGAACTTAGCTCACAGCTCCCTCTTGATTAGACTCTCAACTAGGGGTCTTTTCAGTAGGAATAATGCACAGGTGACAGTGAACCCCACAGGACTTTACATTTCACAGCCTCTATGACATCCTGCTTCTTCTGTGCATCCTGAGTCCTTCTCAGAGGCTCCTGGCCCTCTACACATGCCCAGACAGCTGTGAAATCAATTCAACTCCCTGGATAGAAATTTGACTAGAATTCTCTCTCCCTGACCCTCTAGGAAGTCCTTTGAAGCCAGGATATGAATGATTTACCATCAAAATTTGCCATTAACATATGTTTGTTTTCATTAAGTGTCACTTCGTAGTGACATGTTTTCTCCTGTTATATTTCACTGTATTCCCCCTAACCTAAAAACTCTTAAGAATGGGGATCATCAACACAGTGGCATTGAGGAAGAGGAAGACATAGAGAGGTGCGTGGGAGGTACAGACAACAAAGGTGAACGCTTTTGCACATATAGTACTGTGTTCTCAGTGATGGCAAATAGATGATAGATAGGTATTTTTCATAAGGTCACTATGAGTCAGAGACGACTTGATGCTACATAACAACAAAAGATAGGTTGACAGGCTGAATGATTAGGTATGTGTATGCAGGGGGTAGAGGGTAATGCCCATCACCATGTATAGGGTTGGCAGACAATATTTCTACAAGTATATTTGTATATTCTGTAAGAATTTCCAGGTATATAGTAGAGCTGACAAGGGGCAAGGTTGTCGTCACTTCTTGACCACAGCCAGCTACCTGGAGGGAGTGAGCAGTTGGACATGTGGGCTCAGGACCATGGTCACAGGGGACATCAAGCTCAATTGGCATAACATACTACACAAAACATTGTTCCACATTCTACTTTGGCAAGTAGCCACTGGGATCTTAAAAGCCGCAAGCGACCACTGAGATGCAACGATGGGTCTCTCCTAATCCAGAGCAAAGAAGAATGAGGAAAACCAAACACACATGGAAACAGTTAGTCCAAGGGACTGGTACACTATGCGATCCTCAGCCTATATGATTATGAGACCAGAAGAACTAGATGGTGCCTGGCTACCACTGTCAACCACTCTGTGGGGGATCTATGTAGGAGATTTTGGATAGAGTGGGAGAAGAAAAATGTGGAACAAAACACAAAATCATTAAAAGAAAAAAAAAAAAAAAAAAGGGGTGGGTGGGTGGAACCAGGTTTGTTGCTCTGGTAGAGCCCCTGCAACTATGGCCCCTAGCTTCCCTTGAAGTCTGGAATTGAACGCATTCCTGTGGCTTCCAGCCAAACAAAAGACAGGCATATGAGCTGAACTTTTACATTAGGTAATACATTCCTTGGAGAGATCAATCATGGGAGAATAGAAGGGCTGTGTATGCACAGGGAGATAACTCGGGGGGCAGGAGTACATGGAAGGGAAGGACACAGGGAAGAAGTAACTATAGGAAGGAAGTGGAAAGAGCCGTTGCACTGTGGGAAATTGCAGTCAATGTCATGAGACAAAATGTTAGCAAGCTTCTGTATGGAAAATTAATTTGTTCTGTAAACTTCCACCCAAATCACAATAAAAATTTTTTGAAAAGAAAAAAAATAAAAAAAGAATGGGGATCAACCATTGGTGGCAGCTTGAGTTCCTACTTCTTTTAAAACTGTTACTCTATCTTTCTCTGGTAAATAACCATGTAACCACTCAAACACTGGCCAGAAAAATGGGTCCCAGTGCCTTGAAAAATGCCATATTGAACCTTGAATTGTGGGGGCAATTTGAGCCTATGTCTTCTTATACCCTCTTATGAGGAATGCTGAACCAGTTCAATACAGTTACTCTGGGTCCACCCTAACAGCACTGGTCTAGTAAGAGAGAAAAGCCCAAAGGCTCTAGGACTGTGAATTTCCAACATTCCTGTCTCTTACTTTCTAAGGATGCAAATATCCAGAAAAATTTTAAAGACAAAATGGGAAAAGGAAGGACAGTTGAAAAAGAAATGCGTGTTATCTATCAAGGAGTCCATGGTGGCACAAATTAGTAAGCACTTCTCTACTAACTGAAAGGCTTGTGGTTTGAATCCACCAGAAGTGCCTTGGAAGAAAGGCCTGGAGATCTACTTCTGAAAGGTCACTGCCATGAAAATCCAAAGAATGGAACCCAGATTTTCTGGAGCACAGAGGCTGGATGAACTTCCAAAACTATTGCCCCGAGATATCTTTAAACCTTAAACAAAAAATATCTCCTGAAGTCTTCTTAAAATCAAGCAATAGTTTAGCTAACTAGTAAAGAATATTTGGGAGCTCTGGTAGTGTACTGGCTAAGATACTTGCCTGCTAACCAGACGGCTGGCGGTTCAAACCCACCAGCCACTCCTCGGAAGGAAGGTTGGGCAATCCTACTTCCATAGTGATACTGCCTCGGAAACCCAAGGAGGGGTCGCTATGAGTCGGGTTTGACTCGACGGCACATAACAACAACAGTAAAGAATATCTGCCTTGAAGACTGTGCTCTTTTAAGATCTATCAATATGGGATCAAACTGACAATAGCTACTCAAAAGACGAAACAGGAATATTAGGGGGCAGTGAATTTATGTTAATGAGGGGCAGAACAATTCAGAACAGGAGGGTGAAAATAGTTGTACAATTTGAAGAATGCAATCAATGTCACTAAATTGTACATGTAGAAAATGTTGAATTGCTATGTTTTGCTACACATATTCTCAACAACAAATAAACTATTAAAAAACAAAACAAAACAAAAACCCTATGGAGAACAGTTCTATTCTGAAATACAAAGGGTCTCCAGGAGTCAAAATCAACTCAATGGCAAGTGGTCTTTTGGTTATCAGACAGCACCAGACAGAAGTTAAACACAGAAGAACTGCTTGAAATATTTAAGCATGGAAACCTGTTTGTGCTGGTTAATGAGAGGCATCTCCATGTCTTGGCTAGGAGATGCCATCAGCTGCCTTCGCTGTGGTGTAGATGCTGAAGACTTCTGCTTATTCCGGCAAATGCAGACCAAGAAGAAAAGGCAAGCAATAACCAAAGGTATCGCAATGCTGGGAACTAATATGTAGAGAATTCCCATTTTGCTGCTGTCTCGGGGACCTGTGAACAATAAGGGTTTCATGATTTTTCAGAAAAGTCCCTTTAAACTCTATGTCCTTCACCTGCCCATTCCCTACCTCCAACTAAAATACTTAAATGCAAGTGGGAAAAATTGCAATGCTGAACCTAAAAAAAAACCCAATGCACCTAAAAATAAACATCTTGCTGTACATTTTTGAAACACAACCCAAAACTACCCACAATGGAAACAAATTAGAATATATGGCATAAAAAACACCTGAACTCTAAAGGTTATTAGTATTAAACATTAATAATAACCATATTTACTTTTCTCTCCTAATGCTTGAACACCATTATAAATAGGTGCTCTCTCCTATTTAACTTTACTAAAGCATAGGGTTGCTATGAGTTGGAGCCAACTCAAAGGCATCTAACAACAACAACCAGCTCTCCTTAGCCACAGACAAGTTGATGAAACATATCCAATACCCTTGTCTTCCTTGTATGAAACTCTGTACTAGGAACATAACTGATCCTTTTCATCATTCAACATTTTACTGTATTTCAAATTTGTATATAATGAGAGCATATCTTTTTATGATAATAATTAAAAATGCACTTGACTTAATGGAAATGGAAAACAGGGAAAGGGAAGAGTACTGTTACAGTGTAGAGACTGCAATCAATGTCACAAAACAAAATGTGTATGAATTGTTGAGTGGAAAACCAATTTACTCTGTAAACTTTCACTCAAATCACAATAAAAAGTTTTTAAAAAATGAATTTGACTTAAAAGAGCCAATGAGTTTGTAGTCCCATTGAATTATCCAATACAATATTCAATACAGACACAGGAATTCATAAAAGCAATGTTAGGATATGCAATCAGTCTAAGGTTTCCAGGTCTTCTCCTTCATTTCCCACAGTTAAAAGCAACATTTTCCACAGTAAAAACCAATCTCTCCACAGGATATGCAGAAAGTCACATGTTGTTGTTGTTGTTGTTATGTGCCGTCGAGTCGGCCCCGACTCATAGCGACCCCTCCTTGGGTTTCCAAGGCAGTATCACTACGGAAGTAGGATTGCCCAACCTTCCTTCCGAGGAGTGACTGGTGGGTTTGAACCGCCAGCCTTCTGGTTAGCAGTCAAGTGCTTTAGCCACTATGCTACCAGAGCTCCTAGCATGTTATGTGTCACGCTGAAAAGCCCACGAATGAGGTGGCCATTGTGGCATGTTGAACCCAGGATATACTGGGTTCTGGGCTGGACAGAATGGAGAGTGAGTCTTTCAGACTTGACTACCCAGAGCAGCCAAATAAATCAAAGGAACTATATTTTAAGAGCAGATGGTGTGATTTAAGGAGTGTGTATGATGGGAGATCTAAAGAGTCACATTCCCACATCCCTAGGGAAACATAGGGGTCTCTGTAAGCAAGTTTCTCCTCAACCCAAATAATTATACCAGATGTAGACACATATATGTCTAATCACTCTACATCTGGAAGCACATAAGTGATTCTTATCAAGGTGACATTTGAATGAGTCACATCAGGCCTAAAAATGAATACTCTGCTGCCACCTTAGGTTAAAAAAATGCACACTGTTCAAACTGAGTCTTTCTGACCCCAAAATAAAATTACAAACAAAGCTCTCCTAGCTTCACCATGCAGGTTCTCTTATAGAAGGTGCAGTAGATACTCCAGTTCATTATTCATTATCATTAAGGGGAGAGTCCACAACCTCATGCCAAGATCAGAGATCTTGAGCATTGTGCAATTATGTGGATGATCACTGATTTTATCTTTCTAAAATTTAAATTGTTTAGTAGTAAAAATTGTGATATTACAGAAATGTGGACTTTATTTTTTCAATTTATTTATTTTTACTGTGCTTTGGGTGCAAATTTACAGAGCAAAATTTGTTTTACATTCAACAGTCCATGCACATTTTATTTCAGGCCCTGATTACCATACCCAACCATAACCCACTCTCCTCCTCTCCGATCTCTGTGACCACCCCCTCCCTGTGCCCTTCTTAACTATGCACACCTGTCTGTCCAGCTTTCCCTCCATGTGAATACTGTCTCTCTGGTGCCCCATGGCCGATTGCTCTAAGGGGTATCTCCCTAGACTGGTGGGTGAATTGCCCTGGGGTAGGTTTCCTGCATGTAAGTCTTTGCACTGTTGGGCTGAGAGCCAATCTTTTGGAAATGAGTCCAATCATAGCCCCGAAGGGTATCACGGGACCATACTCTTGGGGGTTTTGCCAGACTCTGTCTGACCAGTAATTCTGGTCATTTCTGTGTTTTTGAATTTTCTTCCACATTTTTCCTCCCACTCTATCCAGGATCTCCAGTTTTGATCTCTTTCCGAATGGTTGACATTGGTAGCTGGGCCCCATCTAGCTCTTCTGCTCTCAAGGTCCATCATATCCTTGGACTAATTGCTTCCAAATGCCTTTGCTTTTCTTCACTCTTCTTTGCTTCACATGAGAGGTGACCAATAGTTTGCTCTTAGATGGCTGCTTGAAAGCTTTTAAGATCCCAGTTGCTACTCACCAAAACAGGTTGTAAAACAAGATTTTTATGTACTATGTGTGCCAATTGAGCTTGGTGTCCCCCAGTACTATGGTCCCAAGTCAGCAGACCTGGAGATTCTCTCTCTCTCTCAAGGTGTTTTGTTGTCTCTGACAGGTTACTCCAAATCTGATTTTCTTGCTTCTGTAATGGGTGTGGTTAATTTTGTATCAAAAATGTGGACTTTAGAAAGTGAATATTCCTAATAGATTTTTTCACTGATGTTTATTGTTAATAAGTTGGTTTTCACTTTACTTTTTATGTCTATTTTAAGTTGAACTACATAAAACAATCAGTATTCAATCACATGGAAGTCTCCCACAAACCTATTGCCTCCAAGTTCCCAAATATAAGATGCAGAAGCTAAGCCTCAGCTAGGCAGACCGACTGGAGCTGATAAAACATAAATCAGTGAAATAAAGAGATAATAACATGGATGCCATGCTTGGTAAGGTGGACAGTCAACGAAAGAGAGGAAGGCCCTCAATGAGATGGATTGACTCAGTGGCAGCAGCAATGGGCTCAAGTATAGCAAGAATCATGGAGGTGGCTTGGGACCAGGTGGTATTTCATTCTGTTGTGCACAGGGTCGCTATAAGTTGGAGATGATTCGATGGCACCTAACAACAACAGCAATGTTTTTAAAAGTATTCAACCATTAAGTACATGCTCTTCAATATTGATAAGTTAGAGAAGCTTTTTTTAAAAAATACATTTTACTGAAATATAATTTATATAGAGTGAAATACACAAAACTAAAGTGACATAGATCAATGCATTGTTTTCTTTTTTTTTTTCAGTGTTACCTCCCCTGCTCTCCCACTCCTCATAACCTATACAGAAAATTTCCTTCCCTATATAAACATTTCCATGAGTTTTTACAATAATGAACTAATACAATATTTGTCCTTCTGTGACTGACTTATTTCACTCAACAAAATGTCCTCCAAGTTCATCCACGCTATGTGGTGTTTTCCAGACTCTACATTAATCTTTAGTGTTGCACAGCATTCCATTGTGTGTATGTATCATAGTTTGGTTATTCATTCTTCTGTTGATGGGCACCTGTTGCTATTGAAAATAGTGCTGCGATGAACATGGGTGTACATTTATCTGTTCTTGTCATGGCTCTCACTTCTTTAGGATATATACCTAGTAATGGAATGGCTGGGTCAAATGGTATTTCTAATTCCAAATTTTCAAGGAATTGCCATACTGCTTTCCACAGCGGTTGTATCATTTTACAGTCCCACCAGCAGTATATGAGAGTCCCGATCTCTTCACATCCTCACCAGCACCTGTTATTTTCTGTCCTGTTGAAATTTGCCATTAGTGCTGGGGTAAGATGGTATCTCATTGTTGTTTTGATTTGCATCTCTCTGATGGCCAATGATCATGTGTTTGCTGCCCACCTGAATATGCTCTTTGGTGAAGTGTCTATTCATATCTTCTGCCCACTTTTAAATTGGATTGTTAATCTATTTGCTGTTGAGGTGTTGGAGTTCTCTATAAATTTTACAGATAAATCCCCTGTCACATATATCGCTGCCCAACATTTTTTCACAATCTGTAGGTCCTCTTTTGGCTCTTTTTTTTTGGAGAAATCTTTGGAAGCACATAAAAATGTACTTTTTAGAAGGTCCCACTCATCTAATTTATCTTCTGCTGTTTGTGTATTTTGTGTTATGCTTGACAGTGTATTTATGCCATAAATTAGGGCCCCTAAATTTGCCCCTATTCTTTTCTTTGTTGTTGTTGTTGTTATGTGCCGTCGAGTCGGCCCCAACTCATAGCGACCCCTCCTTGGGTTTCTGAGGCAGTATCACTATAGAAGTAGGATTGCCCAACCTTCCTTCCGAGAAGTGGCTGGTGGGTTTGAACTGCCAGCCTTCTGGTTAGCAGTCAAGTGCTTTAGCCACTATGCTACCAGAGCTCCTATTTTTTTTCTTTAGGAACTTTATAGTTTTTGGTTACACATTTAAGTCTTTGATCCATCTGGAGTTAGTTTTTGTGTATGGTGTGAGGTATAGGTCTTGTTTCATTTTTCTGCAACTGGATAGCCAGTTTTGCCAGCACTATTTACTAAAGAGACCACCACTTGCCCATTTAATAGATTTCAGCCTTTTGTCAAAAATCAGCTGACCATAGGTCGATGGATTTCTTTCTGGGTTCTCAATTCTGTTCCACTGGTCTATGTGTCTGTCATTGTACCACTACCAAGCTATTTTGACTACTATGACTGTATAGTAGGTTTTGAGATCTGGGAGAGTAAGACCTCCTACTTTGTTCTCCTTCAATAGTACTTTTCTTATTCAAGGTCTCTTTCCTTTCCATATAAAATTAGTGATTGGTTTGTCAACATCCTTAAAGAATGTTGATGGAATCTGGACTGGGATTGCATTGAATGTATAGATTGCATTGGGTAGTACTGACATTTTTACAATGTTAAATCTTCCTATCCACG